ATGCGATAGACACCCAAGCGTCCCCGCCATACGCAGTAGATGGAACTCTAACTTCTTATCTTCAGGAAAATCACGAAAGAGGAAACTTTTTTAAGTCTCAAGAATTTGAATACCAACAAAGCCATTGGTTTTAACATGATACCGTCACGCGCTTTGAAAATAGCGGCACAAGAACTTGCAGACCCACTGACTACAATTTTTAATCAATGTATCACAGAGAAGACATCGCCAAATATCTAGAAAAAGGGAGAATGGATCCCAGTTTCAAGAAAGAGGACCCCCTGGAGAAGACCAACTATAGACCCATAACTGTATTAACAGTGGTTGACAAAATATTTGAGCAGCTTCAAAGTAAACAGATGCCAAAAAATCTTGAAACGATTTTTGACCGATTCATGTCAGCCTACCGTAAAATGTACAGCTGTCAGACCACATTGGTTCGTTTGGTCGAAGACTAGAAACATGCAATTGACCACGGTAAATCTGTCGGCGTACTATCAACTGATATGAGCAAGGCCTTTGATACGATGCATCTCACCTTGCTGCTGGTTAAACTAAAGCCTGACGGCTCCTCGGAAGGGGCCTTATCACTGATGCACTCATTCTTTGAAGAACTTAAAGGAAGAACTAAATTAGGAACTGCGGTTAGTGAATGGAAAGAAATAAAAATGGGCTGTCCCCAAGAATCCAATTTGGGCCCGTTACTCTGGAATATCTGCCAGAATGATCTCTTTTACCTGAGTCGTGCGTCAATTCTATCAATGTACGCCGTCGACCATCAGCTTTATTACGCGCATAGTAATGTCAAGGACCTAATGGACACAATGAGGGGGTCAAATGTCATCATGGTACCAGGAAAATCACGTGGTGGGAAATAAGCAAATACCAAGCCATGGTAATCGGCAAGAAACACGAGCCATCCCTAACATCTGTCGACATCAATGGCCACACTATCAATACTACTGAAGAACTTAAATTACTTGTCGTCACCATCGACAAAGAGCTAAGATATCTCGGACCATATTTGTTGTCAAAACTTTTGTCAAAACTTGGACATAGCGACAGAAAAATGCTAACTCTGACATCATTCGTCTCAAACATCCGCACAAAAGACCTCGCGAACCTAGTTTCAAATTACGTCTGTACAGGGAATTGTCCGAAGTGTGTTTAGAATTTTAGACGTATTTGAAGTTTGTATATAGTTGTATAGGTAGAAATTATTATATTTTAGTCCGTATTTTAAAATGTAAATGGAATTTTAGATCTGTATATATATATATATATATATTGTAACAAGTGATAGCTAATTTTAACTCAATTAACTTAACTTAACTTAATTTATTTGTAATTTTATTGCGAGTGTCCCCGATTAGTCGGCTTCCGGGCTGACTAGAAGTTTTAGACAGTTAAATAAAGTTTATTGATTGATTTATTGCGCTGCGTAAACAGGATATGGAGCATCGTGATGTATCATGGATACTTGGTCAGGATGGTGTAGAGGAGCACTGGATATAAATAATCCGTGTGGTATCGTTTATTGAAGGCTCCAAGCTTCAATAGCAAATTTATAGTGGTACTTACATGCTTCGTTCGCTACTTTTTAAGAAAGAAGGGGATAAATTTCATCGAAATCAGGATAGGCTATAAACGTATAGGATTTCTATTGGTTTTATAGCCCCTGTGCATCTATGCTATTAGAAACGTAGGTTGAATGTTAAAACAAAAATATATGAAACAGTCTTAAAAATAGCGGTTGTCTGGAATACATTCTGCACATAGTCTTTATGTTAAATATATACACTCCGATGGTATCAGACGCTGATAAAATAGGGTCTATCAGTATCGGACTCAATTTTTTCTCTTTCTCAGATGGGATATTAAGCTAAATTGGGTGGCACCTCTTAAGTTTCATCTCGTCAACCGTGATCATTAACAATCGCTGATTATTATCAGTGATTGTCTGGAATCATGCCTCTGAAGGCGCACTGAAACAAAAAAGGAACCCTGACGGTTACAAATTAGTGAGTGGAATACAGACCGGGCAATGCTGTAAGTTGTTTTCAGGGTTTCCGACAAAAGCGGCACTTCACCCTCTTCCACCCCGTTCATATCACCATTGCCAGCAAAATCTAGCAAGAAATACAGGACATAACAAACTCATCTGTAAACTTAGTATCTAATTCCCTAGTTTTTGTTTCCTCTAAGAAAAGATCGAACTACATCTTTGGGTAATGCTTTAAAACAATTCTGGGATTATGAAAGCCAAGGAAGAAAAGAATAAGGTCACATTGATAGTTATTTTGGATTTGTTGTGTTGTGTGTAAGTTTGTGTTCATCATGTGCGTATTTACAATGTTGTATTTTTAAAATTGAGACAGTTTGAACGAAATCGTGTATGGCTCGTCAAAGTTGGTTAAACCGGCTGTTCTTTATTTTCGGCGAGAGAAAGTGGACCAGGAGATAAGGAGCAGAAGATGGAGAAAGAACACCTGGTTTACATGTAGCTACGAGAATATTTATCGGTCTTGCTAAAGTTATTTTGCTAGTGATATCCATTTGGAAGGGGTGACACTTTCTGTAATGCTGCATACATCGCTATACGTTCAGTGTTAATTTAATAACACAAGATAAAATAGTTAAGTTAAGTTGCCTGAAAGGTAAGTTAAAGACTAACATTAGAAACATTTCAGTCATTTCTTAGTGATGTACGAAAGTTCTGAAATGAACCTTTAGTTTAGCTTTCAGGAGTAGATGAAAGTCTCCTTATGAACCATCCATGAACAATTTAAGATCACATGAAAGCAAGCCTTAATAACCATTTCATGGACTTTAAGAATTCTCCTAAATCTCGTAATCTCGTCTTTAGTTGACCAAAACTTCTACTTCGAAAGGCGACTTAGAAAAAAGACACATGCAAGTGATTACAAAATGTTTGAAATTGCATTGAAAAAAATAATTTAGTTCAAAATTCAATTGCTTCCTAGATGAAGCAAACCCACAATGAAACTGAGGATATCGGGACTTGTCCTATTTGAGGCCCATACATAATTAAAAAAGAGATGTCCAATTGTTTACAAATTATTAAATGTCATACTTTATTAAAACTGTTTCTCTTTCATCAGTGTATGATTCATATAATCTCAATCATGTAATGTGTAATAGAATTTTTATCACTAAAATACCCAGACTATAACTAGCTATTGTAGTTAAAATACACTACACAAAAAGCTATTAATTCACATATTGTGCTCTGAAAGCGAGTGACTAAGAAACTTATTTTGAACTGATACAATAAAAAAATATAAATTAAGCCTATCATCTAAAAAATCAGGATATTTTTTATAGTCCACCTAAAATTGTAATGGTTGTATAGATTATATGCTATTTCGTTATATATATATATATAAATATACTTATTAAATGTAATAGCATACCATAATTACGTTAAAAAGGTTGTGGTTATTTATCGTGGTAAATAACAATAAAAGCTAAGTTTTTCGTTTGTCTCACGATATAGTCTCGTGTGATGTAGATCACGACGTTTCGACTGCATACAGCTAGTCTTCTTCATCATGCTTTATAAGATCACGCATGACCAGTCGACCTCATCGCCTGAAGAACACTAGCAGTATGCAGTCGAAACGTCGCGACCTACATCACACGTGACTACATCGTGAGAAAAAAACGCAAAACTTAGCTTTTTTATTATTATACCCTAATTACTTCCAGTAAATTAAAGCACCAACGGAAAATAATTTGCTTATATATTCTAAATGCAGTTTGAAACATAGAAATGATGTGTACAACTATGTATAGCATGTGGAGGAAATCAAATGTAAAATTGCAGAATTCACAATTATTCAAGATCACTATAAAATGGGGCGATAAAAATTTCCAAATAACATGTTTCATGAATAGGAGGCCTTGTACAGGAATGTAAAAGAACCCCGTTCTAAACTTGGCCAATTAATACTTTTTACTCGGTATTGCCCAGAGGGCAAAGTCTAAATACAGGTTTTGGCTTTGTTACTTTGTTGTTGTTGTTGTTGTTTTTCTTGTATAATAATATGAATAGACTGTACATTTTCAAGCTGATTAATTACCAAAACAATAAGAGTTTTTTTCATTGCATTATTGCCCATTCTGGAATATTTTCAGTGGTTAGGTATCTCAGCAAAGGTTTCCCCATTAACCCTGGGTAAGATTCCCTCTTTAGCTCTGGTGGTCAGCTTTTTAAATGTAAACCATATTAAGTATTTTTGTTAATATTTTTCCTCTTTTTTCTGCTCTTCCAATAAGGTCTACCTACAGAGTATTTGGCTACTCTTAAGGTGTTGCCATCCCCATCATTTTCATATCATCTTTATTCAATGTTCATTACCTCCATTATAAGTAATTGGGTCGCTCTCCTCTTACTATGCTGGTCGGCTCAAAAACAAAAAAAATCCGGCCAAGTCAAACTCGGTCAAGAAGTATTTTAACATCTCACCCTTGTACATGACCATAAGTTATGAAAATTTTGGAAATTTTTTTCAACCTAAATAGGACACGATAGACGAGCGTACGTGGGATAATCACAACAAGATTCAAGATTCCTTTGATTTTTTCGAGTCAGAACAAAAAACTCACAGTTTTATTTTTTTATCGTGCTAATTATTCGCTGGTGTTATGAAGAGCATTAATTATAATTGATTGGTTAAACTTATTGTGAAAAGAATTTGCTGAAAAAAAGCTCTCAATTTCTTCTGATTACTAAGTTCCAAGCTGTCATTATGTCTGCGATCATAAAAAGCAGTTTTCAAAGTGACTATTGGATGGCTTGTGGATAAAGGCAGAGATGAGGCAGCAAAAAAAGCTTAAAGATGGCGACGTAACAGATCAACAATTTCGCGGCATCATCATGCGAGAAATCGATGACATGAAGTCCAAGCTGGATGGATTATCAAGGAAAGATTTGTTAGCAAGTATTGGCTTCTTTAGATAAGGAATCGAGCTGCTCTATGAAGCATTTGAAGAGACAAGGGTCGAGGAGTGAGTATGACGCGGATAAAGAACAAGCAGCTTGCGCGGAAACTGTATCGCTCACTGAACGAATGAAAAACTTGGAGCTTACCGAATCTGCCATGAGAAAGCTCGCCAATGCAAAGAAGAGATTCGAACGAGCTCGTGAAATGGCAACAGATGCCTTTTCTAATGAAGCACTATCACCACATGACCGCATCTTGGCAATGCAGTACCGAGTGATGGCAACAGTATTAGAAACAATAGACCATCCCGCGGATGCTGTAGCACCATGTAAAGTGTGTATTGAGGAGCTAAACGGTCTGCCAGTGGTTCAGCAAAGTCTTCAACAAAAGCTCAGGAAAGGAATCAGGGCAGTGAAGAGATTATTTAACAAAGAAGAACGACGGAGAGTTATTTCCGATGTCTGTCTTATCAATCGTGTCGCCTACAATGTCACACAAACAGTATCCATTAAAGAACCATTGCCACAATGGCCCATGATTAATACAGGAAAGGAGAAAGTTAATCTGCTGCGAGACTGGAGAGTAACAAAAATACTTTGTAAACGAGGTATGGAGAACTGTAGCTTATCATGGAATCTTGGTCATGATGGCTTAGAGGAGCACGGGTTAAATAATCCGAGTAGTATTGCTACCAACTCAGGCGGGCAATATATTGTAGCAGACCTTGACAAGACGATCAAGGTGTTTGAAAAGAGTGGCAAGTTTGTGCAACGTTTCAAAATTCCTCCTCTTATTGATGACAGCGGTAAAGAGCTATCGATTAAAACCATGGCGGTTCAGCTAGCCACGGACATGAATGACAACATTTATGTCCTGATCCAAGAAAAGTCGAGAACGCAGACTGGATTTTTAAGTTTAACAAGACCGCTGACCAGCATCACAAGTTTCGTATCAGTTCAAAGGGCGACGACTTAGAACCGTGTAAACTGTCAGTCAGTGATAGTGGTAAAGTGGTGGTACTAAAGAGTAACCATAAAAAGTTACGTCGTAAAGTGAATGTTTATGATACTAATGGTCAGTTGGTTTGCAGTTTTGGAGGACAAATCTTGAGTGGCCCGCGCGACATCACTACTGTAAGTGATGGCAGAATTATGGTGGTGCAAGGATGGAATCCGACAGGTGTTCACATAAGTAGCGAACAAGGCTGCTATATAAATGAGTTTGATCTGCAAAGGTCTCTGAAGTATCCACAAATTGCATTTCACAGGGAAAGTCTACAAATCGTCGTGGTCGGTTTTGAGGAATATAATTCAGACAACTTGTGTATAGAAATATACACCAAAGATGGTGAGTTTGTGCGAAGTGCTCCTATCCGTATGAGAGAGTCCATCTCTTATCTGCAAGGGATTGCAGTGATCACTGAGGGACGCATTGCAATAGTAACCCAGTTTAAAAATTTACTGACACGTGGAGTAATCATTATTTAAAATCACGTTTAGTTTACAGACTAATTACTAATAAGGATTAACTGGTGCTTTGAGTCAATAATCATGAAATTAACATAATAAGTACAATTCCTTTATTTTTCACTCACCATGATGTAACTTAAGACTAAAGTTTCATATCCAAAATGAAAGCTTTCATAGCCTCAATTTATTAACTTTTGATGCCATGGAATCTAACTGAACAAATGCGATACAGTTTTGAAATTTTCTTGGAAAATAAGTATTACATCATTGATCATGTAGGAACTTCATTGACGGCTCCAGGCTTAGCTAGAGATATGATGCTTATTTGGCAACCAGCCTTATGATCCTCACTTATTTAGATGTATTGATAAAATTAGACATTGTAACCACCATATAACTTCTTTTAATACGAGGAAATATTTTTTTTATGTCATGGCAAGGTAACACATCTGACACAGCAATAAGCTGAGATATTGTTTATTCTCATTACCAGTTTACTGGATAATGTATGGATATTGTAAGGAGAAGTTGAATGTGATTCTCTTCTGTAAGTGAAAGGGCTTGATATCCAGTCTCTCTTACATATATGTGCGTCATTTTATATTTCAATCATGGTGTTCCTGCCTTTCGATAATTTTAACATTAGCTTTTATCTGTCTTTTAAGCATAATGCGTGGACAGTTACGCAGTGATAGGCCCAATGTTTGCTTAAGTAGTTTTGAACACTTGTGCTTTCTTGTGAAATGTTTCTTTAATCAAATTTAGTATTCTATTTAGCTGTTGTTTCTTGTGTGACAATTTTAAAACAAGAACAATTTCTACAGTGAACTTTGTCGCGTGACAAATTTAGGTGGTAAAAAACTAGTACAATGATCTTTAGAGATCAAATCAGACTTGTCAGTAAATGCTAATTATTTCATAGCTGGCAGAGCACGTGGGTGGGATGATGCGAGTCCTTTGCTCTGCTTGGCTACTCAAGCGGGCAAGATGGAACTCTTGCTTCAACCACTTGTTGAATTTGCTCTTGTTTTCCCTTAACTTCTTTTTTTAATATGATTTCAATGAACTTCGAGTACAACTCTTATCCCGCAGCCTCCAACTTCCCGTACCACGTTCTCCACCTCCAGTTCTTTTCCAGCCCTTTGCCTGCCAACTCCCACCCTTTTTTGTATTATTCCCGTCTTCAGTTTGACAAAAAGGACTATTGATTTAGCTAATTGCTTTTAAATTATGTGTAATATTCGCTCTTCGTGGGAATTAGCTGTAGTCATGAGCTACATGAGAGCTGGCTTCAGCGAATGGTTCATATCACTACACATCACATCCATTAGTGAACCGTTTGCATTTTTGGGCGTTCAATTTAAGCGCTGATAGACCGTTAATGCTCATTATTGTTCGGCTGATCTCGGAGTCACGTTTTAAAACTACTCGGATTTCTTTGAGAAGTTGAAGTCTTTTTGAAACCTCTCCAGAAAGGTTTAAAATTTGTTAATACATTCCATGATACATTTATTTACTAGCAGTATGATTCAGCTTTGTGATTGTGTGATTTTAACAGAAGCATGTTGCAGAAATGAGGTCTGATTTTTCATTGCCACATATAAAAATACTACGGCTTATCAAGATGTCCTTGGACGACGTTGGACGTGACTCGCTTTGCTCGCTGAATAATTCGGACTGCTACTACTGCTAACACTGTGTACATGTTTCCTTTTATCTCATTCATGACCTATGACGTAACCGACTTCGAGAGATATCTAATTACACCGGTTGATTACACATTTATGTTTCTGCACGAATTAAATTATGCTTCGGTGGACCTTAAATGGAATTAGGTCACACTAAAAAAAACTTTGCTGAGTACAGGTTTTTGACTGAATGATAAGCTCTAAGAAATAACAAACGAGTGCCTTTTCAGTCTCTGCTCCTGCTTCCCGTCCTCGTGTAGATCCCTTCTCCCGCCCTCTTTTGACCTCTGTTCTCCCGGGCTCCTGCCTCTCTGTCCCCCTCCACGTTAGTGGCGCAAGGCATTCTTACCTAATAAATATCCTTCATTTAAAAAGAATCATGGACTTTTCGTTAGTTACAACACTACAGGATTAGAAGGATATGGTTAAATTTTGGTGTTTATAGCTGTCGTTATCCAAGAACTTGAAAGAAAGAGCTTCCGTATGTTTTCAAGTTGGTTGATTCCCAATGCACGTGCGCGATGAATAATATACCCTTCTAACAAGATGCAAATTAGCATAAAGGCACTTTACGATTCATTCGCCTTATTGCAATCTAAGATGGCGGATTCTAAATATCGAAAAATCCTGTTCGTTTGTCGAGGGAATACTTGTCGTTCTCCATGCGCTAAAGCGATTTTAAGGCACCTTTTACAGGAACGTGAAGATAGGAACGAATGGGAGACTGACAGCGCTGGAACTCTTGGTTTCCCTGAAGATAACTTAATTCATAATGGTAATTGAATTAAGTGGAATGCAATTTGGTCTGAAATCATACGCATGTCGAGAATGAACCAGCGGGTCAGCCTCTTCCGTGTAACTTCACAAGTTTATGTTAACAAAATGCACATGATCAGTTCTTTTTACACTTTTACTTTTGTTTTTCATTTTTTTCCTTTTTTCACTCGAAGGTATGGCAGGTAAACCGTTTTGGAGACTTGAGTGTTAAGCTTATCCATTCTTGAATCTCGATGGACATATTTCGGAATCTCTGTCTCGTAATTTTTCCCCTGTACACATCAGAGTTCAACGAAAGATTCTTCACAATCGTTTTTAATTCGTTAAAATAATTGTGTTATATTGTGTGTTTCACGATGATATGCAGTGTTTTTCATTCGTTTTCAATTCCTTCACAATTAAATCAATTGGCCTCTTTGATACTCTTCACAGTGGCTAATTTACGTTATCAATTCAATGGATAATACTGAATTACCCTATGCAAGGTTTGACTGGTCTCCAGTCTTCCTCGTAGCGCTGGCAGCCATCACAGCAACACGAGGGCAGAGGTGTGATGATAAAGTCGAGTGGAAAAAAGGATTTATCACTGCGGGTATTCAGCGGGGTTTATCATTGCCTATTATTCGTTTTTAAATCTTACTCAGCAGATATTTAGCAGTCTTCACAAAAGTGAGTTTTGCATCATGATGTCACTAAACATTGGAATGAAAGCACGGAGCAACGCGCTAGCGTGGCTGTGTTGATAACGGAAAAACTTTGTTATGTTCCGTGGTCATAAAGTGGCTCTGTAACCCTTGATTGTGGGTTCGTTTGATTAACAGCTCGTATAAGCGGTAAACTAACTGAATGTGTAGCTAACTGAGTATTTTTACGGTGCGAATGAATTCTTCGAAGTTTTAATCAGTGCTGTTAGTACTAACAAATAGAGAACTGTACAACAAATCGCTTTAACTGCTCCACGCTCTTTGATCTGAGGTAAGGTGGTCAGTCGGCGCGAAGAGTTCTTAAAAATCTTGCACGTTCGGCTAGAATTTGCTAAGTTAGAACGATTTCGTAGAGTTGAATGGCTGATCTGGAAATCAAACACGATGTTTGGAGAGGATAAAAAAATTCGACAACGGAGGCAAACTAAGGACGATAGAGTTAAACAGGTTGAATGTGGAAGATAAACTCGTATACAAAGTAGATATCAAGTGTATGCTATTCAGTTGTAGCAAGTCAAACGTATCGTGAAGAGGAGCTCAAAAAACTGAAATGACTTCCCATGGAATAAGTGCATATTCAGTACAAACGGACTGCACTTTCTACAAGAAGTTTGAGAAAAACTAACCTTGGATGTGTGCGATTTTGTTGACTTCTTCTTTATTTTGAGCAGAAGCACCGGAGCTGAAGCACTGCAAATAAAAAGACGGATAATGATTCTTGACATAATACTATTTAGTGCTGGCTGTGACAAAATATCAGAAAGCTACTTTTGAAACCACTGTGGTATATGTGGCCTAGAATAAAGTTCTAACATCTCCTGGGTCGGCGGAAGTTTGAACTGTAGGTCTGATGGTCACCCTGGGCCTTAATGGCCATCGTCGTTTCAGTAAAGAAACTGGTTTCACTTTACATAAGTATCTTTGTCACTTTAAAACTGAACTCGGAATCACTGTTGGAGAAAATACGCTCCTACCCCTCCCCTAACCCAACGACAGTCAACTGATAACAAGTTAGGGTAAATGTTAGGGTAAAATAATCGAAAAACTTCATAAGTGCATCTGCGTTTGTGAGAACAGGAAACTGTATAAAATAGTCCTAATTTCTATTGAGATCCGCTTTGCGCACCCTAAACGAAACCACAAGCTTCAAAATTGTCACTTAGGCCGATAAAGAAATTCGAATCAAATGCACTTCGTGCGTTTGATTTGAATTTTTTGATCGGCAGTCGTGAATTAACGATTAATTTATAGGAAGATGGGACGAAATGGCTGAGATGGGTGTAGAGTGAACAAGAAAGATTAGAGTTTTGAAGTAGAAATGAAAGAAAAAGATGAAGAGAAACCGTGAAAGTTACTATGTATTACCCTGATTCATTAGAGCTTTCAGACTTTGCTGCATTCTTACGCCTACAAGAAGGAGCTGACTTACATCGTGGAGTTGCTCGAGGTTTTCTATTTGATAAAGAAAGAAATCAGGACAACAAAAATCAAAGATAGAGTTAGGGCACCAGAGATGGAGGGTAATAGAGTACGAAAAAGGAAAAAAACGGCCGTCTTTTTCAGGGTATCAGCCTGCAGAATCTTCAAGATTAAAAAACGAAAAACAAAAAAAAAAAAGAAGAAAGGAAAGAAAGTAAAGTCGAAATTGATAATAAAGTACAACAGAGGAAAAACTAGTATGCAGATCCAAAATTTAAGGAATAGGAAAAGGTTCAGCAACAGCAACAGAGATCTCTCCCAAAGTTCTGTTTGTTACAGTCACATTTTGTCATGCGGATTTTTCTCTTGTGAGGATAAGAGAAAAAAGTAAAAAAAAAGAAAACTGACTGAAATTACAAGGAGATATTTAGAAACAAATTTCTTTCTTGCGAACCTTGGATATCACAAAATGGCATTGTTCATGACTTTCCTTAATAACATTCTCTCGATACAACGCGTGCAACTTAACTGTATTGAATCACGGTGGTTCGTTTTGTACGCAAAGATGCGTACAAATCATGTAAAAATAGTATTGAATTTCGAAACTAGTGTCCTAAGAAAGACCAGGAGAAAAAAGAATGCCTTTTTCACATGACAGCTCTGGTATAAGTTCCTCACTCTACCCAGGAAGGGTTCAAAATTTCTCTCCTCCCCCGGAAGACAGTCAAATGCCTGTGCGTTACTCAGCCGGGGAGAGGGGGGGATGTTGAAGCTTCGAAATGAGTGGAATCCAATTTTCCAAATGAAGCGCTATCAACAACTGACCGCATCATAGCAATGCAGTACCGAGTGATGGCCACAGCATTAGAAACAATAGACCATCCCGCAGATGCTGTAGCACCATGTAAAGTGTGTATTGAAAAGCTAAATGGTCTGCCAGTGGTTCAGCAAAGTCTTCAACAACAGCTCAGAACAGGAATCAGGGCAGTGAAGAGTTTATTTAACAAAGAACGCTGGAAAGTTATTTCCGGTGTATATCTTGTTAATTGTATCGCCCACGATATCACACAAACAATATCCGTTAGAGAATCATTGCCACAATGACCCGAGATTGATGCAGGAAAGGAGAGAGTTGATCTGTTGCGAGATCGGAGAGTAAGAGAAATACTCGGTAAACAGGGAATGGAGAACTGTTGTGTATCATGGATACTTGGTCATGATGGCGTAGAGGTTCACGGGTTAAATAATCCGCGTGGTATCACTACCAAGCGGGCAATATATTGTAGCATACAATGACTTGACAATCAAAGTGTTCAACAACAATGGCAATTTTGGGAGACGTTTCAGAATTCCTCCTCTTATTGATGACATCGGTAAGGTGCTATTAATTAAAACCTGGTCGTTTCCTCTGGCCACAGACACGAATGACAACATTTATGTCCTGGTCAGCGAGGAGAGTCGTATGGACTCAAACTGGATTTTTAGGTTTAACAAAACCGCTGACCAACATCACACGCTTCAAATCAGGAGGATGGGCTTCGACTTTAAGCTATGTAAATTGTCAGTAAGTGATAGTAGTAAAATGCTGGTACTGAAGAGTTACTGTAAAGAAAATTTTGGGATTGTAAATGTATATGAGACTAATGGTGAGTTTGTTTGCAGTTTTGGAGAACAAATCTTGAGGAGCCCGTACGACATCACTACTGTAAGTGACGGCAGAGTTATGGTGATGCAAGGATGCGCTCCGTCACGTGTTCACATATTCAGCGAACAAGGTGATTATATAAACAAGTTCAATTTGCCAATGTCTACGACCTATCCAAAAATTGCTTTTCACAAGGAAAGTCAACAAGTCATTGTGGCCGCTCTTAAGGAATATAATTCAGACCTCCTGACTAAACTAATATGCACCAAAGATGGTGAGTTTGTGCAAAGTACTGTTATCCCTATGGAAGAGTCCGTTATTCTGGATGGGATTGCAGTGACCACCGAGGGACGCATTGCAGTACTAACCCAGCATGAAGATGCAACACGCAAAGTAATCATTATTTAAAAATGAATAAAGGGGTAAGTTTCTAAAGAAACTGTGGTGCTGCGTCGGTGGGAGAGTATAGCAGGTAATTTAGTGTTAACAACTGGGTTGAAAACGAAATTGCTCTGACGAAGGGCTAACGCTCGAAACGTCAGCTTTTTTACCCTTTACGGTGGCTAATTTACGTTTTCAACCCAGTTGTTAACACTAAATTACCTGCATTATTTAAAAATCACGTTTAGTTTACAGACTAATCATTTTTAAGGATGGATTGGTACTTTGCAGCAATAATCATACAATTAACATAATAAGCACAATGCCTATATTTTTCGCACGCCATGATGTAACTTGACACTAAAGTTTCATGCCCAAAATGAAAGGTTTCATATCCTCAATTTATTAACTTTTGATGCGTTGGAATTTAATTGAACAAATGCAATGCGGTTTTGAAATTTTCCTGGAAAATAAGCATTAGATCATAGATCATGTAGGGACTTTATTGGTGGCTCTAGGCTTAGCTTGAGATATGATGCTTTTTTGGCAATCAGCCTTGTGGTCCTCACTTCTTTAGATGTATTAATAAAATTGCACATTGTAACTGCCATACATCTCCTTTTACTGAGAGGAAATATTTTTTTTATGTCATGGCAAGGTGACACATCTGACACAGCAATAAGCTGAGATATTTGTTTATTCTCATCACCTGTTTACTGGATAATGTATGGATATTGTAAGGAGAAGTTGAATGTGATTCTCTTGTGTGTGTGAAAGAGGTTGATATCCAGTCTCTCTCACATGTATGTGCGTCATTTTACATTTTAATCGTGGTGTTCCTCTTTTTCGATAATCTTAACGTTAGCCTTATCTGTCTTTTAAGCATAATGCTTGGACAGTTACTGCTGTGATAGGCCCAGTGTTTGCTTAAGTAGTTTTGAACACTTGTGCTTTTCCTGTCGAATGTTTCATTAATCAAATTTAGTATTGTATTTGGCTGTTGTTTTCTGCGTGTCAATTTTCAAACAAGACCAATTTCTGCAGTGAACTTTGTCGCGTTGGATGGTAAAAAATTAGTATAATGATCCTTGGAGATCAAATCAAACTTGTCAGTAAATGCTAATTAATTCATACCTAGCAGAGCATGTGGATGAGATAATGCGAGTCCTTTGCTCTGCTTGGCTACTCAAGCGGGCAAGATGGAACTCTTGCCCGCTAATGAAAAACGTAATTTCTTTGTATCTAGTGAAAGCTGAAATATAGTCAATACTGGCAAAATTTACCACTTGCTGAATTTTTTCTTGTTTTCGACCCCTTTCGTTCTTTTTTTTTTTTGTATGATTTCGTTGAATTTCGAGTACAACTCTTGCCCCACAGCCTCCAACTTCCCGTACCACGTTTTCATACCTCCCGTACTTTTGCAGCCCTTTGCTTCCCAACTTCCGCCCTTTTTTCGTATTACTCCCGTCCTCAGTTTGATAAAAAGGACTATTGATTTAACAAATTGTTTTCCCATCATGTTAAATTTTTGCTCTTAGTCGTGAGCCATATGAAAGCTGACTCCAACAAATGATTCATATCACTACACGTCCACTGTTGAACCGTTTGCGTTTTTGAGCGTTCAGTTTAAGCGCTGATAGACCGTTAAAAATTGTTTTGATCGTATTGTTTTAGTTTTACCGCCAATTCAAAGGGCCTACTATTAATGAAAATTTGTGAGCGCATATTGATTTGTTTCCAAATTTCGCTTAAAGGCTTGCGGCTTGATGGCAGGGCGAGAAAAGTACGAAAGCCCGGTTAATGAAAAGAAAATTTCAGACACGGCTTCTGTATCATTTAACTCGCTTAAACGGAGATCTATTTCACTCGCTTGCGTGCCATTTTTACTCAGCGCTGAGCTCGACACAATTCGTTTCGCCGGAAAGATAAGCGAGTAGAGAATGGAAATAACTTGGCCTATTTATTCAATGTAAGAGTCTTTCGTCGAGCAGTAGATCAACCTCGTGATTACATGACCCCATTGTCTTGTTCATTTGATGGTCCCAGTCGTTATCTTAAATATACCCATCCCCAGTACTTTCTTAAAGCCCTCACACAGTGCGAGAGACGGGAAATAATTAAATTTATTTGAATTTGGGAAAGGCTATGAAATTAAAGGTAGCATTTCGGTTTAATTAACCTTTTCGTTTTCTTGCTATCAAAACTGTAAGTTGAACGTTAGGGCGAAAAAAAAAAACTTTTAAATAATCTTAAAAATGTCGGTGAGTTCAACAGATTATCACTTGGTGACCCAAACAGGTTGAAGATTGTTTATTTTTGGACAGATTAATTCGTGGCACTGAAGACACAGAAGTTAAATCTTGGCGAGTGAAAATCAGTAAACTGAATGAACACAAAGTAATGTAGCAAGTTATTTAAGAGTTTCTGACAAAAACCGCACTTTCCCCGTTCCTCCGCTTTGACATCTTTGGTGAAGGCTTAGTCTAACGAGAAATACATGCAGTAACTCAATAATGAATTACCCCCTCGTAATTTTCTGTCATCTCTAATTTATGATAAAGACAAGTCTTTCGTTATCCTTTTAAAACAATTCTGAATTGATAAAGAAGAATGAATTATTATTGAATGATCATACTGATTTTTTTGTGTTGTTTATCAGTTTGAGTTCATCTTTTGAGTCACGGCACAGTTATGCATTGTCATCATGTGAGCATTCACATATATTGAGTTTCTAATCAGTGATTATGTTTAAAACCGTTTATTTCTGTTGTGACTATTTCAAGCTTCTGATTGACTGTTATTATTCTTAGACATACTTAAAAGCTGGTAAAGATTTTGACCTGCCTCTTTCACCGTTTCGCTACCAACTCAAGCGGGCAATATATTATAGCCGACTATGACTTGACAATCAAGGTGTTTGATAATAGTGGCAAATTTGTGAAGTGTTTCAGACTTCCTCCTCTTATTGATGACAATGGTAAAGAGCTATCTACAGAAATCTGGAAGGTTAAACTGGCGACAGACATAAACGACAACATTTACGTGCTGGTTGAAGAAAAGAATCATCAGCGTTGGATTTTTAAGTTTGATAAATCCGCTGACCAGTATCACAAGTTTTGCGAGAGGACAACGGATCTCGAGTGCAATTTGTGTAAACTGTCAGTTAGCGATAGTGGAATAGTGTTGGTATTGAAAGGCAATTATACAAAGGACTATCATTTTGTGGATCTATACGAGACTGATGGTCAGTTTGTTTGCAGTTTTGGAAAACAAAATTTGAAGAGCCCGCGAGACATCAGCACTGTAAGTGATGGCAAAGTTATAGTGGTGGACTAAACGCCTTCCCATTATGTACACATAACTCGGTGATCATCTAAGTAAGTTTGATCTCAAAGGGTTTGTGCACTTTCCAAACATTGTATTTCACAGGGAAAGTCAACAAGTCATCTTGGCTAGTACTGACGATGAGAAGGAGCTCCTATGTATTGGAATATACACCAAAGATGGTGAGTTTGTACGAAGCGTTTTTATCTACAAAAGTGGCTATTTCCTGTATGATTGCAGTGAGCACTGAAGGACGCATTGCAGCTCTAGGACCTTCATATGTCAAGCTAGAGTCCGGCGTCATGGATTACAAAATAGGATATCAGTTGATTGTTCTATAAAACTGATGCAAATGTTCTTGACTTGTTTCTTGACTTTTTAGAAAAAGCAGAATATGCAAGACAAAGCTTTGATGTTTATTTGAAGAGAATCAAGAAGACTGGAAAAAGGACTTGTTGTCTCTTGATCCTTCCTGATGAGAACGACCAGACTAGCAATCGTCACACGGAAAACATGTCTTATTGACAAAACGATTGTCTCCTAGATTCGTTCATCCCACATAGATCGTACTTACCACGCTGAAGTTGCAGTTGGGTAAAAATGAGAGATGGACACGCGTGTAGGGCTGCACGCGTACGCTGCTTACGAAAATTTTAGACACGGCTACTGCGTCATTTTACTCGCTTAAACGGCGTGCTATTTCACTCGCCAGCGTTTCATTTCATTCAGCGCCGAGCTCGACACACTTCTTTGTTCTCTGTAATACGTGCGTTTGTTTTTATCGTGCAATTTGAGCGATAGAAAATTTTAATTAGGCGTGCAAACCATGAACACCGGCTCCGCTGCGAAGCCGGCGTGTCAGTTTTCTCGCTGCCGTTCGTTCACCTTATTCTCTGTTTGCCCGTGGAGGGTCACATTTATGACGAGATCATTCGTTTGAAGGAACTGTGCACCCACGTGAGCATAATATAGATGAAAGACTGAGACGAAGACCACAAGACCGACATCTCACTCGTTCGCTGTGCTCACTCGTGAGCTATCGAGTTGAACACTCGAGGAGAAATTCTTCTTGAAATGTAGACTACGTTCTTAATTACAGTTCAAATTCATTATTGTAATGATATTCACACCCGTCTGTTTTGTTTTCAGCTTTTGTTGATTTCCTAGCCACGGGTGGCGTCTCTCCGTTTGAATTATTTCTCTGCATCTTAAACTACTCGAAAAATTTAGCTTCACATTCTCCTGTTCCTTTTCTGGAAAAAAATTTATCGCTGATTTTAGCATGGTCGCGTATTATTGTTTTACTTTCCATGATGGAATTCTTACTGAACAATTTTTAGCCTAAAGGTTTGCATTTAATTATGATACAGCCAAAAAGAAAATGAATTGATCCTCTTTAATTAGTCAAAAAATAGAACTGGCTCAAAACATCAGATCAATTTCATCCACAGTCATAATGTATTCATAGCTATCTGCTATCTTTCCAGCTGTCGTTTATTTGCCATGAATGATGTTTCCTTGAGTTGTATTTTTTCGCTGTCTTCAGTTGCCCGAGGAAAACAACTTAAGAAGTTGAATATTTTTTAGGGTTGCTTCATTTTAACTGTCTAACTTTGAACACATATCGACAAAATTGTCTTCATTTCTTTCGTCGAATATTTACCGGTTAGTGTACAAACTTTGAATCTAGTTGTTGATAGGCCTTCGATTCATTCGCGCCGGAAAAATCGAGAAAAACTTTTAATATCGAAGGAATCTTCATAAGCTGCAAAACATTTTCAATTTCCTGTTTTTTTCCCAGTCACTATCATGTACTGGATGATAACAGCAGTTTTTAAAACTACTATTGGATGGCTTGTGGAGAAAGGCAGAGAAAAAGTAGCAGAAAAACTTAAATATGGCGACGTAACAGATCAACAGCTTCGCGGCATCATCATACGTGAAATTGACGATGTGAAGTCTAAGCTGGATGGAATATCAAAGAAAGAGTTGAAAACAAGTATAAGCTCCTTTAGAGAAGGAATCGAGTACCTGTATAAAGTATTTGAAGAGACTAGGTCGAGGGATGAGCTTACTGAATATGCCACAAGGCAGCTCGCCACTGCAAAAGACAGATTCAAATTTGCTCGTCAAATGGCAACCATTGCTTTTTCAAATGAAGCATTATCAACAACTGACCGCATCTTAGCAATGCAGTACCGAGTGATGGCAACAGAATTAGAAACAATAGACCATCCCGCAGATGCTGTAGCATCATGTAGAGTGTGTATCGAAGAGCTAAACAGTCTGCCGGTGGTTCAGCAAAGTCTTCAAGAGCAGCTCAGGACAGGTATCATGGCAGTGAAGGCTTTATTTAGCAAAGAAGAACGACGGAAAGTTATTTCCGGTGTCTGTCTTATCAATCGTGTCGTCTACGATGTCACACAAACAGTATCCGTTAAAGAACCATTGCCACAATGGCCCATGATTGATACAGGAAAAGAGAAAGTTGATCTGCTGCGAGACCGGAGAGTAACAAAAATACTTTGTAGACAGGGTATGGAGAACTGTAGTGTGTCATGGATACTTGGTCATTATGGCGAAGAGGAGCACAGGTTAAATAATCCGAGTGGTATCGCTACCAACTCAAGCGGGCAATATATTGTAGCAGACTGTGACAATACAATCAAGGTGTTTGACAAGAGTGGCAAGATTGTGCAACGTTTCAGAGTTCCTGCTCCTCTTTTAGATGACATGGGTAAGCAGCTATCCTTTACATACCGGGTGGTTCATCTGGTCGCAGACATAAATGACAACATTTATGTGCCGGTCAAAGAAACCAGTTGTGAGGACTCATACTGGATTTCTAAGTTTAACAAAACTGCTGACGAGCATAACAGTTTTCGCGTCAGGACAATGGGCTGCGAATGCAAACTGTCAGTCAGCGTTAGTGGTAAAGTGGTGGTACTGAAGAGAAACTCTGGAGAGAGTTATGGGATTGTGGATGTTTATGAGGCTAATGGTCAGTTTGTTTGCAGTTTTGGAAGACAAATCTTGTGTTACCCGTGCGACATCACTACTGTAAGTGATGGTAGAGTTATGGTGGTGGAAGGATGGCTTTCGACGCCAGGTGTTCACATATTCAGCGAACAGGGTGACCATCTAAACAGGTTTGATCTGCAAAGGTTTCTGAGATCTCCAAAAATTGCATTTCACAGGGAAAGTCAACAAGTCGTCGTGGCCGGTAATAAGGAATCAGACATCTTGTATGTAGGGATATACACCAGAGATGGTGAGTTTGTGCGAAGTACTCTTATCCATATGGGAGAGTCCTTTATTCCGAATGGGATTGCAGTGACCACTGAGGGACGCATTGCAGTGGTAACCTGGATTCCAGGTTCAACAAGAAAAGTAATCATCATTTAAAAAACGCACTGATTTTCCATTCTTATTTTCACGTTTAGTTTACTAACTGATTATTATTACATAATAATAATAATAATAATAATAATAAACACAAAGCCTTCATTTTTCACAGGGCATGATGTAGCTTGAGACAAAAGTTTTATGCCCAGAATGAAAGCCTTTATAGCCTCAATTTATTAACTTTTGAAGCGTTGAAATTTAATCGAACAAATGTGATCCAGTTTAGAAAATTTTCTTGGAAAATAAGTACTACATCATTGATTATGTAGGAACTTTATTGACGGCTCCAGGCTTAGCTAGAGATATGATGCTTATTTGGCAATCAACCTAATGGTCCTCACTTCTTTAGATGTATTAATAAAATTGCACATTGCAACTGCCGTATATTTCCTTGTAATGCGAGGAAATACTTTTTTATGTCATGGCAAGGTGACACATCTGACACAGCAATAAGCTGAGATATTTGTTTATTCTCATTACCTGTTTACTGGATAATGTATGGATATTTTAAGGAGAAGTTGAATGCGATTCTCTTGTGTGTGTGAAAGGGCTTGATATCCAGTCTCTCTCACATGTATGTGCGTCATTTTATATTTTAATCATGGTGCTCCTATCTTTCGATAATTTCAAAACTAGCCTTTATCCGTCTTTTAAGCATAATGCGTGGACAGTTACTGCTGTGATAGGCCTAACGTTTGCTTAAGTAGTTTTGAATGCTTGTGCTTTTCATGTCGCATGTTTCATTAATCTAATGAAGTATTTAGCTGTCGTTTCTTGCGTGACAATTTTGAGGCAAGACCAATTTCTGCAGTGAACTTTGTCGCGTGACAAATCTAGATGATAAAAAATTAGTAGAAAGATCGATCCTTAGAGATCAATTAAACTTGTCAGTAAAGACTAATTATTTCATAGCTGGCTAATCAATGTTAGGGGAAAAATTCATGTGTTTTAGTTCGTGTAATGTTAGTTCAAGTTTTGTTTCAATTCAAATCTTATTTTTCAAGTTTCAATTTATTTCTTGTATTCTGTTTGTTCTTTGACTCGACCGTTCGAGCTATAAAGAACGATGAACAAATTGCTCCATTCAAATTGTTGTTACCATTGTGTAAATTATAGCCAAAAATTGAATTGTTGACGTATCATAAAATGATATACTTAGGGTTTTTTGTGGGTTTTTGGGCATATATATTCGCTAATTTTCCATATGTATTCGTATACTTTCATATTTAAAATATTCGGCTTCATTCGGGTTTTCCTTCTAGTAAGTTAAAAAAAATAATTAAATAAAAAAAATACTTAAAAAGCCACAGCAGTTTTTGAGTAGTAAACTAAGACATTTTTGCTTTGTTCTTGCTTTCATTGTATACCTGTCTATTGGTACTTTTGTTGTTCATTACTAGTGAAATATTAAGTAAATATAAGTGTTAATGGTCTTTTTGGAAAAATTGATTCTCACGGTAGTTAGCATATTTATATATACTCGTAATATTAATTTCCTTTCATACGATAATTTCCACACCAACCTTACATAGATAAGCAGAAATTTTTAAATACTTTTCCGCTTTTATTTCCTAAGCTGCTCTACTTTAATTAAGATAGGTATATTTTCTATACCAGAGCTGTGAATTCTCACCCAAGTTTCCTATTTTTGATGGCCTCGAATTTGTTGTAACCGTCCTTTAAATTTTGAAATTCTTTTCATCGTAGAAACAGCGGGAACATTTAAGTAGTTTTCGTATAACTTCAAGGAGACATTTTCTGCTTCTTTGTGTCCTTGTTCAATATTGTAATTTGTGTTACAATAGCACCTCACACCAGTTAGTTTTTAAACAAGTACCTTGTACAGCTTTTACTACAATTAGTTTAGCTTTTACTGTGGCATGATTTATGTTAGAGTGCTCTTCGAATAAAGTCTGCTGTGGAACCAAAACGCTGTCTCATCCTTGACGTCCGTATAAGCTCGCTCGAAGTAGATCTCAGTGTACTAGGAAATCGTGAGGAGTTTCCGCTCTCGCAAGCCGAGTGATCTCTACCGAGTTATTTCCCCCGTTTTGTACGTTTTCCGCAAAGTCCAGTTTAGTGCGCGAAAACCTATCGTTACAAATTCCACGATTCATTCGCTCATTACAAAATGTCTCTCATTTTCCTGTAATTTGCTTGATTTCTTCAAACAAGTCCTGAAATCTGATTGGTTGTTGTGTTTTAGTAAAGTGGTCTCATTGCCTGGGATAAAGATGCGATTTGTAGATATATCACACTGGTCACGGAAAGTTGATCACATTGCAAGGATCACAAGTGATTTTTAAAGAAATGTTGTAAAGGATTTTATTCCCCGAAATATCGCATCGAAAACACAATAGTACAGTCAATACTATCGTTTCACTCAGTAAAGGTGGCGACATTTTTGCGCAATTACGCAGAATATTTAAAAACCAGATAATTTGGTTTTATCAGCAGAGTTGATAATGTAAATTGGCTGCTGAAAAGAGTCTCTAAGGCTAAAGTTTACAGCGTTAGTCCTTGGTAAGAGCGTCAGTTGATAGAACCAAATTATCTTGTAAATACCCCATCGACACAGCATCACCATTACCCCTTTTATTCATGTGTTATTTAATGCATGCAGTACTGGGCGGACTGTCTTTCATGTACTGGCTTCTAAGGAACATTCGAGTTACAACTTACGATCGCAACTCCGTTATAACTCGCGATCCCAACAAAAATACCCTATGCCGGCGAGAGGACATGTGCACGAAAACAGATGGACACAAAACGGGATCAATGCGCTTTTGTGCTTACTTGGATGGCACGAAAGACTTTCCTTTCCTTGTACTGATTCTAATGCTTTCAACATGTCTGAAATGTTTTTATCGAGAACCAGGTCACCCTCTTCTGCTTGACGTCACAAGTTGGATGGTGGTTGTTAACAGCATGGACAAGATCAATTCTTTTTATACCATTTTACTTCTTTTTTTCATTTTTTCTTCCTTTTTTCATCCGAAGGCTTGGCAGGTAAACCATTTTGGAGACTTGAGTGTATCGCTTATTCATTTTTGTATCTCGATGGACTTATTTCGCAATATATGTGTCGAAACTTTTCCCCTATATACATCAGAGTTTAACGAACAATTCTTCACAGTCGTTTTTATTCGTTAAAATACTCGGGTTATATTATGTGTTTCACCATGAAATGTAGTGTTTTTCATTCGTTATCAATTCCTTTACAGTGATATCAATTAGCCTTTTCTATGGAAATTGTTTTTCCATTTAGTACATAAATAGCTAATAACAGAGAGAATATGGTAAAAGTTGTGTCAATCATGGAAATTGGATTTACAAGCATTAAGAAGTACGTACTGTTATATACATCTCTTCAATATCATGAGGTAATTCGGTGTTGGGAAATTATGAATATAAAAATAACTATTTGTTAGGTATCATCATCTCAACAATAACTTTATTTCGTTATTGTATTTCTCTGAAGCCTTTGCCATAAATATTTCTGCTCAAGGTCTGCAAACAGAACTTCGATAGAGTGATGATTTTTTTAAACATTATACTCGTGTTCACTCTAAACCCACACGGGTTAAAATGTCTCATGAAAATTACATCTATTCTCACTTTTCGCTCTTTGTATACGTAAAATATGAACATGTACATTTATATGACAAGAACACTTGCTGTTCGAAATGAATCAATTAAACGCTCAAGCATATCTATCCGAGCTAAAATTGAGTCTGTTCAGATGAATCAACAGTTCACGAAGAACTCGCCTCTGAGGGCATGTCTCAATCGTGCAATGCGCATGTCAGCCCTGAATGCACTCTTTACCCTCCCCTCCGATACACATTGGCTGTTGATTAATACTAAGAAGGGAACGTATGGTAGTTGTTGTCACAGTAAGCAGCCCTCTATCCTGCACTAGTCAGATATTCAGTTTCATCCGAGCTCTCAGCACCTGCCGGGTTCGTTCAGAGGATGTGGCCGAGCTGGAAGACATCTGATGAAAAAAAAGAATTAGTTGAAAATCAAGCGTAACAATTTTATGATATGTTAGGCTATGTATGTTAGGCTAAGCAAGGTATGCATTTGCAACATCTGCATATAAACACACACACACACAACCCACAATTCCCCCATTCACTCTGACGAAGGGGCTAATTCGCGAAACGTTATCTTTGAAACTCTTCACGCTGGCTAATTTACGTTATCAATTCAATTGATAATACTGAATTACCCTATGCAAGGTTTGACTGGTCTCCAGTCTTCCTCGTGGCGCTGGTAGCCATCACAGCAACACGAGGGCAGAGGTGTGATGATATAGTCGAGTGGAAAAGAGGATTTATCATTGCGGATATTCAGCGGGGTTTATCATTGCCTATTATTCGTTTTTAAATCTTACTTAGCAGATATTTAGCAGTCTTCACAAAAGTGAGTTTTGCATCATGATGGCACAAAACATTGGAATGAAAGGTATTTCAGCGCGTTAGCTTGGCTGTGTTGATAACGACAAAAGTTTGTTATGCACCGTGGCCATAAAATAGCTCTGTAACCCTTGACTGTGAGTTCGTTTGATTAACAGCTGTATTGCGCAAAATTCTAATTTCTTTGCGCATTATAATTTGATGACGTAACAGATATAATTGTTAAGATTTTCTATCGCTAGACAGTGTTATGGACACCTAGAACCAATGGGTAAATATTTATCTTGATTTCTTTTGATATTATCGATATGAACTGAAATTAATTTGTTAAGGCATTACTTTACGGATTTCGAATCTCCGATCCATATCCATGGTTTTTGTCATAACCTTCATCCGTTATTTATTGTAATAAAATATCGAGGTTTGGAACCTTTGGTATATTAATGTCCTAACACACCGTCACATTCGAAATCCATTGGGACGTGAACACGAAGATAATGGATCCAGAAAAAGCGAAAACAGACCGGAAGAATGCCAGAACAATCTTCACAAGGAAAAGGAATGAGCTGCTGAGATCTG